CCATCTCTAGTGGTAGGTGAGTACGTCCGAAGAGCTGTGTTCCCTGGTGTATGTGCCGCCCAGGCCCTGGCAGCTGTCCTGCCTACACTGGTCAGGCCGATAGAGGTGGCTCTTCGCAATGGACCATCCCTTCCTTAGGTAGAGGTCAAGGAGCTCCTCAAGGCCTTCCACGTTGAGGTGAGGAGGCAGAATGAGGTCCAAGCAGTGGCGGAGCGTAGGAGGAACTTCAAATGCCGCGCCTCTCTGGACCGCCCCTTCAGTACGGGCGGGGTCGATGGACAGCCTGAGCCCTATGCAGTCGATGAGGACCCCTCGCCCTGCCGACCTCTACCGCTGGAGGCGGCTTGTAATAGCCCTATCGTGGATCGCCTCTGCCCTACTAGAGTGCTCTGATGATGCTATCATGGCTGAGGGCATCCTAACGACCCTACTGGGTGGGTCTGATGTCCACTGGTCTTGCCAGGTCCATGAGCCTGTCCTCAGACCTCCCAGTCGTTGCTTCCCAGCCGGTCACTGGGACTACCCCGACAGAGTCGGCCACTCCCTTCTATGCCCTCCTGACCCCGGTCATAGCGGCTGCCTTCTTCCCCGAGACTGTGGAGGATTCCGGTATGTGGGTCCATCCGGAGATAGAGGACAGGAGGCTAGCCCTGGACCGGCTGAGGCTGCTAAAGGTCGTCTCGGCACTACTCAACATCATCCGGAGGGCCCTAGGGTCGGCTACCCAGGATACCCCACCAGCGACGGTGTAAGGCATCCCCGCGTCAGTATCACCAGGGCCTGCCCATCAGGTACGTACCAATGGCTGGGCGTCTGTCCTCAGCTTGGGTAGCCATCACCGAGCATGTTGCCCCAGTGGTCATGGGGTCCTGGGCTGCCTCCCTCTTCGCCCATGGGACCGGCATCATCCCTAGGTGGGCCTCTCTAGGGAGAGGTTGGTCATCCTAGTGGTGGTCTCAGGTTCCTGGTCTCCCGTAGCTCCTCATGTCAGCTGGAGGGCTCGGCCGTGGAGGTGCTGCTAGAGCTAAGGCTGGCAGAAGCCGAGGCCGCCCTCTTCTCGATACCAGCGGACCTCAATGGCTTCCTCTTGGACCCTCACGTTGGGTGGTAGGAAGCAGACTGGGGTTACATACTCAGATTTCGTGGGCATCCCCCTCCCCTTCCCCTGCTGTTTTAAATACTCTATCGCGAGGCATAGTCCTTTCACTTCCTATACTTCGGCAGGTACATCCACCACCACTACTCACGCTTCATTCGACTGTATAGAAGACGGTCCAGTGGTGATGGGTCTGCCCCTTCGGGCGAGTCTCCGTCCAGCTCCTCCTCGTCCTCCTTTTCTTATGCCTCTAGCCACCAACAGGGCGAGGGGAGCTCGGCAGCAGTGGGAGCTGTTGAGGACTCCCTGGCTGTGGCCCATCTAGGGGTGCTGGCGTCCGTGGCTCGGGGCCGTAGTACAGCTGCGAGGTGGGTCTAAAGGGGGGAGTGTTGGGACTGAGG